CCCGAAATCAGCTCGCCATCAATAAAAAGCAGGTGAGCATGACACAAAGAGGAGATCTTCAATACATTATGCCATAAACTGTTTTCTAGGAGCTGTTCTGCACGTCTATCATCTCACTACTTTCAAGTTCGTTCGGGATACTCCCTGTGGCGAGTTCCATGCATGACAGCCAAATGGATTGGGAGTCACGCAATTATTCATTGGTACATTAAGGTTTCAATGTTTAAAAGGTTTTCTAATGATGTTAAAGGATTGGTTCCACGTCGTCTCGCTTTTTGTGTGCTACATTACATTTTCTGTACCAATGAGAAGGGCTACGAGACCTTTTATATTCACCATAATAGCTCAAGTACACCTAAAAAACAGTTCCAAAAGAGAGAACATGAAAAATCGTAATTCTTTAGGTGAAAGAGGAGTATCGGAACAACGAAGTCGACGTCCATTCGGCTCTGGGCAGTTGTATGCAACGTGTACTGGCGGAAGGGGATGCGATCCAAAAACTTTATCAACTCACTTATTTCCACGTTGGACAGCACCGTCCCCATAGCCAATGAAGTGGGTGGATATGCCGCAGTTACGACCCGAGTTTGTGCGACGCGGGTCAACCGTCCAAGTTTGGACCACTTCAAAGGATTCACTGCCCCCCCCCCCCTCTCTGGCAGGCCTCAACACACAACCTCTCCCACGATCAACCCTACCGTTGGTACTCTGTAGACCATGCTTCATGACGCCCCCTCCCCAGAGTAGACTCATGATCCACCAGCAACGACCACCACCCTTGACCAGTTGACACAGCCCAACTCCACTCACATTACCACCAAAATAGCCCCGGTGAGCGCAGAGATATATATCACACCGAAACGGCAAATTTTTTTCTTAACACTCACAAAGCATAAAGCGTCACACTACGACCCCTGTTGGTGTACTAGAAGTCAATTCACTGAATTTACCCTTTACTGCCCCACTCCTCAAGAACTGAGCCGGATTTTGATCGAAATTCGTCCATGACTGTGGATTTTGCTAGAAACTTGCCTTCAGGGGTAATTTGACCCGTAGATCACGAATATAATACCGGTTTAGAGCGAAAACGCTTGGCGCCCGCGCCACAGGCGCCGGCGCTATCACAACAGTTTTGCGCGGGCGCTCGTAGCGCAGGCTACAGGTTCACTCGTAACAAACTGATGTGATAATCATATTCTACGGGTCAAAATACCTCTGAGGACAACTTTCCAGCGAATTTGGGGATCCGAGATGTTCTGGCGCCTTTTGGCGCCGGCGCTTCTGACGCGAGCGCCAGGCGTTCTAGCGGTAAACAAATGTGATATTCGTGTTCTACGGGTCGAATTACCCCGAAGACAAGTTTCTGGCCAAATTCACAGTCAATGACCAATTTCGATAAAAATCCGGCTCAGTTCTCGAGGAGTGGGGCAGTAAAGGGTAAATAGTGCCGAATTGACGCTGCCTCCGACTTTTGCGAATACTACCCCCCCCCCCCACTATTCGTCGGCCGAATACGACCCGTGACTCCCTCGTTAAACTTTGTCCAACGGACAGTTGACCCTGTTAGGGACCCATCTTCGGGTACTGCCGCATACTGCCTCTGATCGTGGAGATTTGCCGCTCGCCAACGCGCAACCGTGAAAAACAGCTCCACATGCACACCTATACTCAATTTGCATTACATGACTATCGCGTTGAAGGGGTGATCTCAGGATAGTGCAATTTAGCACCTCCCTGTCCCATCTCCGATCATGGCAGGCATAGCGGACAATTGCTTATAACGTGGGCTTTTGCAGCTTGAAATTGTATGACAGAGCTGTAAAAGCTCGGTTAACCCGCAATCCACACCGCTAGCAGGCTCTCGCCTTCCGTTGTCGGCTGTCTAGTAGCTGCGCCATTAGCGTTGCAGCTCAAACGCGCTTCCTTCTTCGTGGTATAAAGAGTCGGTAGACCAATATCAAGAGAGCTCATAACTTGGAGAAAATCAGAAAAGAAATCAAAAGTAAAATGGAAAAACGAACGAATATAACATGTATAATAGAGAATAAGAATTAATATAGAAAAGAGAGGGAATCTCGCGGAATTACGTCATCCGCTCCGGAATTCTAGTCACGCTATCAGTCCGCGACATCGCCTAACAACTGAAGTTAGCCGTCCGTTGAAACGTCGTCTGAACAACAGGCCCCCGCCCTCCTGCCATCTTGAGGGAGCAAGCGGCTAGACCCAAGATGGAGCAGTCCCTGTCGGCTGTATCTTTTTTTTTCATTCTCTCGAGTTTTCTTGGAACATTCTCACAGTACCCATAGCTTAAATATTGTCGCTTCCACACAGACGACCAATTTCATCCAAAGGATCTCCTTTTTCTCGACGTTATACCCTAGAAACAATGACCTCGTTTTCATGTTAAGTGGAGGCAGTTTCCTTGGATATCGATCAGAACGCTGAGATCCCATACCTTCAAAAGACCAATAAGATGTGAGTGGAAAACGGCGCGAAAGCCTTTTGCTTATCGATCGGGTTTTAGGCTGACTAACATATTATGTATTATCCAAGTAGTTTACATCATGCCATTCGAAAGTTTGGTCTTCTGAAATGAGCCTCCGATGTGGAAAAGATAGAAGCGCTCTAATGCTTTATGTTAGAGAATTACTATTGCACTTATCTGCATTTGGATTCTGGTTGCCTCAATTATTCACAATAGCTTAAATGCAGGCTGCTTCTTGAGAGTCCATAACATATTTTACAGATAAGCAACATTTTCTCCACCGTATGGATGGCTCTTATGCTGTACTTTGCACGATCAATTTTCGGGTTGATTCCTTCGGTAATTGCTCGGGCTTAAATTTGTTTTTAAGTTTTGCAGAGAAGATTTAAGAACGTACGCCGGCAGCAGGCCGCATCTGATACGCGAGGCATTTAACCTACGCTTTCCATAAGTGTTGTGGCAAGCGATGATTCTGCTACTGTTAGTGATGTCCTTGGTGAATTTGAGGACATTTGGCGATGCTCTGCTCCGTACTTTGCGAATGGGCGTGATTTGATATTGTTTTGTGCCGAAATGTTAAGTTGAGCGTTTATCCAATTTTTCTTCATTTGGCGATATAATTCATTTTCTAATCATTTTCACAATGTGCTTACTGTTTCTGCCCTTCCTCAATTCTCATATCTAAGTCGGTCGGTTGTCCTTGTGGCGTGTGGCCGCATCGGTCTGCTACCATCTCGATCAGAACTCAGTGGTAAGCCGATGTTCGAAGAACAACCGTGCCACAAATTTCAACTTTTATGAAAAAAGCGGCTAATTACTAGTTTATACGAGGTATTTAAATTAATCGGATGATTTTGCGATCGCGAAGAAATTCATCCCTTCCGATAAAAAATAAACAAAACTTTTTCTCTCTTATTCTCCCAGCCTCCGCTGTTCACTGATTTTTGGTGAGCAAAGACGAAAAACAAGTTGCATCGCAGTTGTACGATCTTATAAATCAACAGCACTCAGGGTCATTGGCGCATGGGGAGATTTTCAACAATGGCGGTCTTTTGTGGTCTTTGATGGAGAGGTAGTTGAACTTACGAGGAAAGAGTTCCAACCTTCCATAGAATTTCGGTAGGAACTATGAAAATTGAAAGAGCCCGGAATCCCGGCGACAAATATGAAAAGAAAAATTGCTACGTGAACTTGTCGAAAGATTTGTGAGCGATCAAGTTGGTCGTTAAATGCACATTGGTATAACAATATGAATAAAAGCCTTATGTCGGATGCCTTGATTACGAAAATGATATCTATCCTTACCACTCAAGCAATCGCCATTTGGCAGCCAGATCTGGAAGCAGCCAACCTCAGAATGCCAAAAATTGTTGTCACATCGTGGGATCCGAACCTTAGGACCACTTTTATCGCTCATAACTTAATCGTAGTCAACTTAGCGTTGGTCCTTCACATGTTGTTAACCAATTCACCACCCTGCCATTCGTTTAACTAGGTCTCCATTTCATTCAGTTCATGAGAGTTTGAAACACTTTCCTAGTTGGAGAGTTGAGTGTCGGAACTTCTGGATGTTATTTTTATTTATAGAAATTTTTAAGGGGTTGCTATTTTCTTCCCTCCCCCCCCCTCAACACACCTTTCACTCCCTCTCCTTGTATTTGGTGTGATGAAATGCGGTGGGTTTAGAATATGATAGACAGCGAAAGGTAAGCCAGTAACCAGAAAGTAGTAGTGGAGTAGCGCTAGCAAAATGTTGAAGAAAGGTCATTTTTTGGTCTGAAGAATAATACAAAAATAAACCTTGGAACGTGCCCCGTTTAGCCTACGCTAACCCTCCTTCAGTCCCGGGTCGATTAATTGGTACGGAACTCGTTTGGTAGATAAGAACCACTGACCTAGTGCAGTGATTGGTCTTGCCCAGTCATTTGTGTATGGCCACGAGTAATACAAAAATCGTCCACGCAGAAATCCTGAGTGGGAGTAGAATGCATGGCGCATCCCAAAAAGGGATTGATCAAAGTCGAACGTGTATCCTCGAAAATTTACAAGTGATCTAGCGATCAGGACCTAGCCAACGAACGAGGACGTTCAATATGTAGTATTTCACTCTTTCCAGGCCAAAATGTGAGGTCGTCGTACGGGCTACTGAGAACTGCTTCATTGAAGAAAGCAGGTCTGGTTATTTGCGACCCGTCTTTAAGCACTTTTTTTCCTTTTTTCCGACTCTACTCAGCAGAGAGGAGTGTAAGCGATTCCAGACTGTCGCACTGTCAACCCCACTTTGATCCATTTGAACATACCTTTGTAATTTGCCAGGCTAATGAAAACGAAGGATCGGACAGTCCTTTACGTATACTTAGATTGACCTCACCTCTCGTTTTCATCAATTGCGAAACCATCCGAGGGGAGATCCACAAGCATGCTGCAGGCGGTTAAAAGGTTAGTTTGACTTGTTCCTGACAACCTGGGGCGATGAAAGCGCATTCCCTCCTGTTCTAGCGTATTCGAGACCGGAATGGAAAGTCGAACGCCGTCGATGAGAAGTCAGCCACTCACGACACTTCACGAAGGTCCTTCTAGTCGGCCCAGAAACAGTGTTATCGTTATCACACACGACTCCGACCTTTTGCAGGTTAGCTGTTGAATGCTGGTTCTCTGCTAAAATCTACTCGCAAATTTTCAGGCAAACCCTTCGGAGTCGTCAACGTTCAAGTACATCGTGCTTGATTGTTCTGGAGTCGCATATGTGGATCCTGAAGCACTTAATGCTTCTCACGTGTAGAGCTCATCAGACATTAGTCATGTTTGGCAAGATATTGCAAAATCACGAAGTGGGGCTAGCAATTGAATAGTTGAAAAAGAGGTGACACTATCAGTAGGACAGCTCGGCCCTCATCCTGAAACGGAGGGGAGAGTGGGGTGGAGAGTTTACTGTACTTGTCGTGGGAAAGGGAGCCCCTGAGAAGTATGGCCTACATATCTCGCTCTCACCACTCCGATACAATTACGATTGAATGATTTATATAAGCTAAGACTATCTGAAGCTACTTCTGAAACGATTTCAGGTGTATTCCGAGCTACGCGATGACAATATCAAACTACTATTTGCTGGTGTTAATGGTAGTGATCCATTTCCGGTTTCCGATTTCCGGTTCTTTGAATACACCAAAAATCACAATTAATGTAATAAACCTGATTTTCAGCGACCGTTCGTGATTTCTTAGAAATCAGCAAGTTCTTCGATTTGGTTCCACGAAGCTATTTCTTTCCAACCCTTCAGGAAGCACTTGGATCACTCAGGAGCACGAACTTTCCGTTTCATATGAGGTTGAACGAATCTTCTAAAGTTTTCCGGAATAGAATAACCAAAAATCATTTTCGACATTCAGCGTATCGATGAATGGCTATCGAGACGTGATCACGCTGTCGACAGCACCGTCAAATCTGGACATATCCTGCCATTCTCCGGAGCCCGTATGAGCTCCGACTAGGATGGCCGTGAGCTTCAACGAAGCATCTCATGGGCGCCCGGGAAGAAACAACCTAAGAAGTTTCGAAAGCTGCTTCAAAAGATGTTTCATTGTTGCTTGTATACAAATGTGTTTCTTTACCAAGTCAAAAAGAGGTCTCGTATGCGGACGCGTGCGGTCGCGGCGTGGCTGTGGTGGACGTGGAAATAGAGTTTTGGGAAATTGTCGAGCTTCACTTTCACGTTTTTGGCCACTCAGAATGTGATAGCTTCAAGGGAATGTTTTTGCGATCAATGTGTCCGAAATGCGACTGCTGGTGGCAGAAAACGTCAAACGTATTCTCTCTTTCAGGGGGACAGAGTACAAAAACGTATCATAGGCAGGTGTCAGGCTTTGCGAAGATTCGGGATTTGAGCGGGGTTCGAGCGTTGCACCAGCGATTCTAGCTGTGTACCATCGCTGCGAAGAATGTACCAGTGACTCGACACTGTTTGAAAATGGCGGGATCCCTTTGAACGTTGGCTCTCGCTACATTTCCCGGATCACGAGGGCATGAGAGCTCGAGAAAGAGCGAGAGTCAACGTGCAAACGAGAGGGAGTCCCGCCACTTTCAAACAGTGTCGAGTCGCTGGTACATCGTTCGATCCGCTGGTACACAGCTCGATTCGCTGGTGCAACGCTCGTATCCCGCGATTAGCGAATCGAATCGCTAAATTCGCAAAGTCTGGAGGAGGAGCGAATTATTGCGACGCGTTTTGCAACTTTTTTGTTATGTACTGTTTTGCTACAACGGTGTGATACTTCCACTTCCCCTCTTACATTAGGCTTTTAATAGTAGAAGGCTTGCACTGATAAAAAAAACCATTTTCACTCTCTGGTCAGAACCACGAATGGGGTGGCGCGGCAGTTAAATCAAAATAAGCTTCGAAAGCGAGCGAGAAGATTTCCGTTTAACAAGGCGATTGCAGAGTCTAGCAGACGGATTTTATCACGGGTGTCGGGATATATCGAGATTTATTAATGCAGGCATTTGAAATCGCTGCTCAGCACATTTATAATGCTTCTTGTTCTACTTGTGATTATGAGCACTCCGTTGCATAAAGCATTGACGTGTTGTGTTTCTGTACGAGAATATGCTAGTCGATAGGAATTGCTTTTGACCTTCACAAGGGCACCAGACAGAAAGCTTTTTTGTTTGTTCTTTTCCACCTCTACCGAGTAGAGCGGGGATCGACACAATCGTCCGGTCGTCGCACCGCCGCGTACTGCCAACTGCGCGGCGTCGCGAGGCGGCAATTATCCAATGGGCTCGGGTAAAAATCGGCGGTTGGAACAGTCACTTTCTTGTAGTCCACAATAATTTTGTGGGACGCGGATATTCTAAATTATCCAATTTATCTGCTGTCTTCATGAAAATGGCGCGAAAAAGTTTGTTTTCGAATCATTCTCGTAATGTTGAAAAACACGGGAAGAAAACCGTCAGAGGAGGTTGCAACTACTCGCGCGTTGATTGGAGTTGAATGTCAACGGGACGGACCTACCTGGCCCTTGACCATTCAAATTCGAATGACGCACGCAGACTTCCCACTGCAGTTGCAACGTCGCGGCCACGATCGGCCGATGTCGTAGTTTGCGAATCAGGCTTGAGCTTTGTGAATTCGCTAGCGAATCGCTGGATCCGAGCGTTGCACCAGCGAATCAAACTTTGCACCAGCGAATAGAGCGATGCACCAGCGAGTCGACTATGTACCGCAGGGTCAACCCTACGTTGTTACGAGTAACAACGGGGGGGTCGTACTCAGTTGAGCTTGGAGGGGGGTCGTACTCTCTCGGTGGCCGGACAGTGGGATTCTTGGTAATATCGGATAATAGCCAGCACGTTACGTTTTCGTAAGATGACTGATACTAGAGCATCTATAAACCACGCTTCCCTCTAAATGAGCTTTCAAATGAATCAGCGAATTAGAAGGGCGCCCGAGGCGTGGCGCGCACCAAGGCAAGGGATGTAGTGCAAGCGCATGCTCGAAGCTTTCTAGCACATCCTAAGTTAAACATGAATTGGTCTTCCAAGAAGTTACGGGCAGTGAAACCTAAGAAAACCCGCGTTTTCGGGAAAATGGCTTGAAGAATACCCCTCAAAAAAGTAACAACGGGACTAATTTTTGAACTGCTGACTTTTCAGGAACGTTTTGGTGCTCGTAGAAAGCTTGAATCCTGTAGTTTATTCATACCGTGTTCAGCTTCCCAAATGAATGACTTTGAAGGAAGTTATGATCGTTTGAAGGTAAAAAAGTCGCGGTTCCAAAAAAATAGTAACGCAAACCCCCAAAAAAGTAACAACGGGACTAATTTTTGAACTACTGATCTTTCAGGAACGCTTGGGTGCTCGTTAGAAAGCTTGAATCCTGTAGTTTATTATACCGTGTTCAGCTTCCCAAATGAATGACTTTGAAGGAAGTTATGATCGTTTGAAGGTCAAAAAGTCGCTTTGCACAGAAAAAAGTAACAACGTACTAAATTTTTATTAAATTAACTTTCGAAGAATTTTTACCCATGGTTGGAGAGAGAATAATTTGAATTTTCCAAATCAAATCACTTCGGCGCAGAAGCTCGAATATGAAGGAAGTTATAGCCTTAGAAAGAGGGGTGTAAAAATTGTGTTGCAATTGAAGAACGTGAAGGATTTCAGTATTTCAATTGGAGCGATAATTTTTTCTGACTTCTCATAAGTTTTTATCAGGTAATATTGTCAATATTCCGGTCACTGGTTCAGTTTATTTCATCTCCTAGTTTGGTAACCCTTTGGAGTACACGGATATCTTTGAATGCATCTCATTTTTTCGTGTTTGGAAGCAGCGATGAATATCTGTCGTGGATTTTGCTAAAGTTTCATCTTTGATGACTTACGTAGAAATAAATATTGATGGTAAACACTGTCTCTACACAAGTGTCACATACAAGGGGGGTCGTATCAAATCACCCATGAAGGGGGGGGGTCGTAAAAAATTTCCAAAGAGTAACAACGATAGGGTTGACCCCGTGTACCAGCGGCTCATTAGTGGCGGCACCCAACGTTCAAAGGAAGCCCGCCACTTTCAAACAGTGTCCACTGTCAAGTCCCGCCACTTTCAAAAACTGTCACGTGACACTGTTTGAAAGTGGCGGGCTTCCTTTGAACGTTGGGTCCCGCCACTATTGAGTCGCTGGTACATAGTTCGACTCGCTGGTGCATCGTTCGATTCGCTGGTGCAACGTTCGATTCGCTGGCGCAACGCTCGGATCCAGCGATTCGCTAGCGAATCGCTCGATTCGCAAACTATGACATCGGCCTCAGCGCGGATGCTAACATTTCCGTTGACATGCACCTCTAGCAGTGTACACATAACAAGCTCTCATTGCTCTCGATGATACCGTAAATTACATTTCTTCCTAGATTGTTCCCAAACGACAGCCACCGGTGATCAACGCCGAAGACGAAGGATAGGTTACACTAGCGCTCTTTCGCGTTTTAGGTGACTTCAGGTGGTCCATCATTTGCGAGGATGGTATCACAAAAAACTGTCACTTTTTAACGTCTTTTATGAGGTATTTCGTTCTGACAACGTTCTTTTAGACAAAAATGCTTTTCCTACGCTGTCCGTGTTCATGGAGAGACTGTCCGACAAGAAGTAATCTTAGAAGGGGGGGGGGGGGGGGTGGCTTTCCAAGAAGCAGTCGAATCCTAAAAGAGCCTGGAACTCCTCCCGTGAGATTTCCCGCCCCATCGCATCTGAGCGTCATACGCAGATCTTATTGCATCAAATACACTGCACAAAACAGGACAACAACTGGTAGAGCGGCTTCACAA